CATTAGATAGTTGTTAATCTTCATGAGAACCACCTCATCGGATAGGTTTGAAAAGATGCGTCGAATGCATTTTTTGTTGGTGTGTTGACATGATTTTATAGGGGAAATATGATTGATTAATTTCGGGCCGTTTTCTGTACACTTCATTGCATTTCTATAATAGCATACATACATCATATAGACATTTGTCTATATCTAAACCATTTCGATCCTTCCTTGAACATTTGATAATATCTCCCTATCACATATACTATTCATATAGACGTTGGCCATTAACGGACCGTTAGCAGCCAGTTAACGTTCCTTTGTTAGGCCGTTTTTCACATACATGATCAGCGATGCTTTTAACCGTAAATAGGCTATTAACGGCCAGTTAACGGACCGGCTTTAGGTCGTTTTTCAGTAGTTTACGTTAGAGAAATTCTAATGGGATTTACCGTAAATTATTGAAAAACGGCCTAAAAACGTTTTTTGTGTGACTGTTAACGGGCTGTTGTTTTTTACCTGGATAATATGTCTATTTATCAGTACATATGATTGTAGACAATTTCAAAGCAGGGCCATTATTTCATCACTAGAAGTTTTTTACTTCAAAAACCATCACAAAGTTTTCGTTTTAATTGCTCCTCTTGTCGTTTTGTATGTGCACTGCAAGACCGTATTCGAAATGTATATATTAACTTACTTTCTGGTGAAAGAGGAAAATGTTTCGTTTGTACAAGTGGGTTTAATGCTAGACTAGATGCATTATGTGGGACAGATAACCAGTCTTGATTCCATAAAGTGGTTCAAGAAGATTAGTTCAATTCTCTGACTATGGGAAACCAGGAAGGACTTCTTTCTCTTAACTTACTCTCTCCTTCTATTTGAAACAACTGTGTACTCACCTTGTAAAATACTTGATTTTTTTACAAAAATTCCTTTCAGGAAGCTTAGAAAACAGACACAAACGGCAAAAAACACAAGGAATAATAGTCTTTAAACTAAGTTAAAAAAGAATGAAATGCATGCATGTTACTTGTCATATAATGATCAGTTCTTTTTTTTCATAAACACTGTTATAGAACACACATGTGCTGTGTATTCTACGTAAACGTGCTCAGCTCGTTATATACATTATGTCAAAAAAGACTTTCTTGATTTCAAGAAACTTTAGCCCATAAGACAAAAAGATTGCGTATTGCATGAGCAAAAAGTGTCCACAAGCCGTGACTTCCTTGAGCGCAATGTCAAGCGCCTGAGAAAAAACATCATTACGGTAGACTTTAGTTCTTTGACGCTTGACCAGGGACTTAAAACCATAAAACTAATGTCCATTACAAAAAGAAATTCTTTAATTTATTCTTTAATATTTATTTAATATTTTCACAACAGCAACGAAATATTCATAAAAATATTCTTTATCGCGCCTGGAAACTTAGTTTGAGCGCCTGGATAACAACCACAATAAAATGAGACAACCCATATGCAGAATTGAGCTTAAAAAAATAGCAAACTGTTTCTTCTTATTCATTTTCATCATCTCTGCTACAAAAGACAGACTTCAGGAAACAACTAACAGTTCATATACAACAGCACAGAATAACAGTTCTTTTGTCTGTTTTATTCTAACGATCCATTTTTAATAAATTATGCGTTCTCATTGGTATTAAAAGAACATCAAGTGATAGATAGCGCTCTGCCTTTTCTATCACCTTTGATTACATTTATTTAAAGCGCTATATGCTTTATTTCAATCACATATGCATTACAAACAATTTATCTCGTTTAAAAATATAACTACAATTAAAAAACTGCTTTGTCGGTCGCCATATTGACCTCTTCCACATCTTTTCTTTTGGCAGCTAGCTTTTGTATCAGTTGAAGTTACTTGCTATTGGCAGCTGTTATTGGCAGATAACTTCTTACAACCCATGTGAATAAGAATTTAGTATGATGGACTATTCAATGTCTGGTTGGCTGGCTCTATCTTCAACTTGCTAAATAATGGTATTCGCGATAAGAAGTATTGGAAAGTGATGGACATTGTAAATGATGCTAAGAGTAAGCACACATCGAAGAAGATTGTGATCGCCTGCTCCAGAGTAGCCGAGTGATGATGATGATGATGAGACGCTGACCAGGCTCGAAAAGCCACTTGACCAGTGATGGTCTTAAAAGCATGTTGTAGACAGACAGACAGCAAAATGATTTCTTCACTGTCGCACAGACCCTAGACTACAGTCTAGAGAATAGCGTTTTGAAGTATAATTATGGGATTCAAAAACGAATTTTTAATCTTCTGTAGGGTTCTAGAAAATGTCTATAGATCGACCAATAAATATTTAGATCATACCAAAAGCAGTTACGAAGGGACTATGATTCCTCATAAAAAGCTTTAATCCTGAGATGCGGACCTAGGTCCGCTCGAACTCCAACTGATTTCATTTTAAGGTTACACGCACACAGCGTTCGATCTACTCGCTCCTCTCCAGATATGCTCTAATGAAGAGTAGTACAATATGTCACTGCCGGCAGTCGTTCATGATCGCTAGGTGTTTATGTGATAAACTATCTCGAAGTGCATATGAAGGCTTGTTTCCCAACTGGGATCCACCCGGACTCCAGCGAGATTCTTTTTAATTCTTAGTAATTGTGGTGTTAGATAGGATTCAATGCTTTTAGCTATACTTTAGGGACACCAACCAATCACACCAACACTATAAAAACAGCGTTACTTCAGATATGATACGTTTCCGGCTACCATGCATTTTGCCGCCGTCTTCGTTCTCGTGAGAAAGAAATTCTGCCGAAACGTTCCAGAAACATTCTTTTCTCGTCGACATGGAAGTTTCAGCAGAGTGCGAGGTACGTAGAAACATTTCCTTCGCAAAAAATTGGTTTATTGCCAGACAATCATCGTTAAAACAAAAAGTTTCCTTAGAATACGTGTAAATGCTTCATATACAATATGCAATCTCAAGTACTTCGACAACCGAGAATGATAAGAGAGTAAAAAGGCTTGAATAAATACCATTCAACTTATATGCTGTCCTGTTTGTACTTCTTACGCTCAAGGCTCCTCCGCAGCCATTATAGTTCTGTGGTACAATAGTGGTAATGCAGTATATTATTCCTATTTTATAAAGTTGGGGTCCGTATGGACCCCAGGTGGGCGTATCAGGGTTAAAAAATTTTCGTTGTCGCTCTCCTTTTATATTGAATCCGACAATCCAGGTTTGAAGAAAAGTTCAGTGTGAATAAATAGATAAGATTTCAAATTGATAATTTTTCTCCGATACAGAAAAGAAATATTTATTGAAACAAAAGACAAACTGAATGATACATTCAACACATTCAGTTCTTATTTATTTGATTGCTTTCAGCTCAATAATATATTATTCTTCTTCATCTTTATCGGTGTCATTATCTTTCTTTTGATGATGGACAGGAATACAATCTGGAGAAGTTGAACATGAATGACAAGTTCCACCATATTCAGATGGTAATTGATCAGAATTAATGTTTTCTAATAAGATTTTTGATGTTTCAGGTCCTTTTTTAATGACAAGAATTTTTGATTTAGTTACTGGATCAATAAAATGCTTGATTAAATTCCAAACAGCAGGAAATATCCTAGGTGGATTTACAACAAACATTTGACCAAGACGTTCAGGATAATAGTTATCCTCAATATAAAGACATTGTTTAAGAGGTTCAAACACTTTTCTTATATCCATTTTCATATGATTTAAATCATAAATAATCGCAAAACTTTCTATATGTTGTCCTACATTTTGACTACGTTCTCGAGTCAATTGACAATAATATTCAAGCCAATATATATGGCATTGGATCAATTCTTCTGTTGTAAATTTTTGAAGGATTTCATCAACATTTATCTGTCCTGATTTCTCGATATATAATGGTCGATTAACTTTGGTATATCCATGATTAGCACACGGAACTACTTTTTCTAAGCGATCCATTCGAAGTTTAGCATTTTGATCTTCAAGAATTGAATCAACATGATTATCTATTCTCCATTGAATCATATCCAAAATTGATTTAGTTGTATTTTTCACATTCCATTTTCTCCCACGAAGAAATCGAAATAATTCATAGCGCCATGCGTTGTCTTCCTCTTCATATGTTAATTTTGTTCTCAAAGATAAACTAAGTTTATATTCTACATAAGATCTATGAGGATCTTTTAGTTCATTATAAACAGCATCAAATTTTTTTTGTTGTTCAGGATTTAATTCATTAATATTGAAGAGGAGACTATTGGTGGCCATTATCATACAATTATATGAGCTTTTTTTAAAGCGCCTATCACTAAAATGATTTAACTTGTAAAAAACTATTCTCGTAAAAGTAGTATAGTCACGCACACGAGTCACTTAATTTCGTTATCATTGATGCATATCATCGACAGAACAAACGGCTTGTATTTGCATTTTTTTTTCGTTCTTTTACAGCACACGATCAATGAATATTTTCAACGGACAACGTGTATCACTGACAGAACGAAAAAATGACGAGTGTTAATCAGTGAGTAATTACTTTTTTTCATCCCTACTAAAAAGTTATTTTTGTCGGAATGAGAATGAAAAATTCTCTAATGATTACAACTGACGTTGTTCTGAAATGTTTTGTATTTCTCATCTGAATATTCTCACTATCATGTATTTTATCTTCTAGAGGAAAATCTCTCATAATTGATTCAATATATTTACAACCCATCGATTTCAAGAGGAAAGTTTTTCTGTCTGCCTGTCTGTTCTTCACTCAACCAAACTTTGCCGGGAGCATCCTTGCATCCCAGAGCAGGTAAACGACTACTTTTCAGCCGAAAAAGTTTCATCCCAGGTCCACAAAAAGCCGAACTATGCATTTGACAATCAGATCTCATGATCGTATCGTGTGCTGGAGAATTATAGAGCAGGGATTCTGAGTACGTAGTATACAGTTGCCCGGGGTTTTCAGAGGGCGATGAATTCGAATCTGAGGTCAAATCATCTCCGAAAACATGTTGAGTAATTTGGCATGAATAGGGACCGAGTTTCTAACGAAGCGTATATCCATTCATATGGGCAAAGAGAAATGCTTGCCTTTATGTTCTTCACGCCTTTGATCAGCATGTGAACAAATACAACTGGACTTTGCAGGAAAATACTGTGGTGCTCAGCAACACAAGAGCTTGAACGCTACACGTAGGTTCAACGTTTCATCTGACGAGTCTGTGTATGTGATCGCTATTGCAATCATTCGCGCAAGACACTAGCTAAGACCAACGATTTTCGTCATTCAACACAAAAGAGTCCAAGATGTAAAAGTACGATTGCATATGACTGACATGTTAGCTGGCCAGTCGACCCATGTCATCGTTTATTTCTTGATTGTGATGCGATTGTGCGTAGAGGTGATTCTGCGGTGCAATTCGCACTGCACTGATCTGTGAAAGAAATTACGGTTGAATGTGGCGCAGATACGCACAGTTATGTCGCAGAATCACCTCTGCGCACAATTACACCACAAAAACTCCGCAATTATGCGTCACAGTGTGATCGTAATGTGGGCGTAATTACGCCACAATTTCTCCGCAGTCGATCATATGGGGATGAACAAACGAGAACGAGAAGGACAATGGCAGTGTTCAAATTCATTGGAGCGGCGACCCAGGGACACAAAACGTAAAAAAATTGATATATTTTACTCCAAAAACATCAGAAACACGACATTTCCTATGATGGAACGGACATAAAAATGCATGCATTTTTCGTTCATCGATTAAAATGAAGATTTTCATCAAAATCATCGAATGTTTTCGATATTTCACCAATTTCATGAATGATTTTGATGAAAATCTTCATTTTAATCGATGAAAGAAACATACACGTATTTTTATGTCCATTTCATCATAAAAATGTTTTTTTTTGATTTTTTGTGTCCATGGGGAGGATGACGGAGCATTGGATCTTCGATGAAATTGAATGAATCAAATTAATGGAATATTTAGGGGAAACCGGAACGTTGAGACAAACAACCGAGAATTCGGGCGAGGAATGAAGATGAATGGACGACAAAAATTTAAACACTTTTTCACCATCGATCGAACAAAGATGACGAGAATTCTTTGGTTGGTCAGTTTGACCTGAAGATACGTCAACGTCTTTGTTGTCGTTCGATCATGGATTTCACCAATCTCTGCCATCACTCTTGCTCGTCTTTGCCGAACGCGAGTTGAATCTTTGACTTCCAAGTGATCATGATCGAATGAAAACTGGTCTTCCCTCAAAGATGTTCAATGAACGTTCCGGTTTCCCCTAAATATTCCATTAATTTGATTCATTCAATTTCATCGAAGATCCAATGCTCCGTCATCCTCCCCATGGAC